AATAAAAATGCGGACATAGAACGGAGTCTTACTAAAAAACTTGCTGAGTAATTGTAACTTGAAACATGAATAAGAAATAGTAATCAGCTGAACCCATGGAAACACAATAATGACTGATCTCTATTATGTCAAATAAAAGTTCGTACCCTCTTTATCATTATATGTACAGTCTGATTTTTCAGCACGTAATATAATGAAATGATAAAGATCATCTCGAAATTTGCAGTAAGAAATGGCGTCAAAGGGGTTGAGCCTGCACTTCCTACGCATTCAGTTCATAAATGATTAAGTTCAGCGCAATTCAAATCCTCTGGGAAAAATTGAGCTATGGACATGTACAACAGAGAAATTAAGCATATTAAGTCACTCAAACATGCCATACAATTAGTCCATAGACATTCTTTCCCTGCCCTACTGGTAGTTACCGACCATGTGGCAACGTTGTCGCTTTCCACATCTACGTGTCATCGCTGCATCGAGTTATCTTTCGTTCTGTGCAAGGCCCATATGTGTTTTGCCCTTTAGTAGATACGGATACGTATATAAACACGATTGTCTCGCCAGGCGGTGCGCTTAAATACGCGGGTCGAAGACATTTTTCTATCATTCTATTTTAGAGCAAACGTACGGGTAAATCTATGATGTGTGAAATATGACTAATAAGTGCGGGGTTGTGAGCGTATACTAAGATAAAAAATGCATATACCCTTCACACTTTAAAGCCTCCAACTTCCAAATTTATCCCCTAAATTTTTTTTAAATGATCTGGATTCCTCCGCCACTGGTCCATTTTCAAAAACTACAAAGCTTTTGCGTCATTGATATAGTAGTAACATTGTGTAAACACTTACCGGTGCTTCTTTAGGTATAGGCGGTTATAACATTAGCGGACAGACCAAGAGACTAACAGACAGAGACGTCCAGTGGCTTAGGAAGTAAAAAGTAATGCTATATGGTGCACCGCAAATTTCAAGTTTGATACCCTGCTATGGTGAAAGTAGCATAAGCAAAGTTTTGTTTCCTTGGACAAATTATTACTTTATCATCGCATTTATGGACCATCATACGACGCTGAGAGGCGAAATAGAAGTTACGAGATTCATGTTCAGTAAGATTTGAAAAGAAAACTGAAGAGCGATGGATGCTTTCAATTTTATGAGTAAGATATGTCCATGTGAAGGCACACGAGTCAGGCTTAGCAAGGTAATTTTGCGCACCAGGCTCAGGTATATGTATCACTTTGTTGGAAAAGTGGTAAGACTGGGCTCAGTCAATCAATTTGAAGCGGCGTTGCTAACTGTACAAACATGTAGGAATGTTTTGAAGAACAAAAACAACACACGCCGGTTGTTGTTCAAAGAGTTTTTTATATACCAGGGCAACGCGACTTTGAAACTGGTTAATAGAAGTCATGCAGAAACCCTAGGGACAAAGTAGCAGTCATACCGGCCAGCTCTGGATGTACGAAGTTCGACACGGTTAGGAAGCTGAACAAAGCCGAGTTAACAAACCTAGCGATAGCGACGGCTCTTCGGTGCGAAAGGGTCCTGAGAGAAGTTATCGATCAGTCGGACACCCGTTCTCTCTACAACATCGAGCATGGATAATGTAGTCAAGGCGGAGCACCCCAAAACATGTGAGCAGTACTTGAAGCTAGGTCTAATCTGGGCCTTGTACAGAGTGAGGAGATTATGCGTAGAAAAATACTTCTTAGTCCTGAACAGATAGCCTAGATTTTCCCAGCGGCTCCCGTGATTTGATGGTATGTGCTCGTGCCAGATCAAGACCTCGGTGATCTGGACTCCAACCAGCCGAAAAGAACGGCTCTTTGATAGAACTCGGACATCCATCGACACCGGATGAGCGCTCAGACGCTGTGAGTCAAGGTGCAGCGTTGTGTTTTAGAAGTATTAAACTGTACCAGATTCTTGCGTCCCCAAGCAGTGATAACCTTCAAGTCTTTCGTCAGCGACGAAATCGCTACAAGTCTTCTATTCTCCAGCTCATTCCTGGGGAACACTCGCGTTAACATTGTGTGCCGAAGAGGCGAACCCGTTAATTACGACGGATACTTTTCGGCCAGACAGGAAGTGAGGCACTCATCTGCAAAACTTATTTGTTAGTCCATAGGATGGAAGTTTGCATAAGACGGTAGCATGCCAAAGCTGACTTAACGTTTTCGTGATATCAATAGCAACGGAAAAGGCCTCATCATATGAGAGTATCTTACGTCTAAAGCGGAATCTAGGGTTATGAATGTGCTTGCCTTGGCTCTTCTAATAGGCATTTTTGTCGGCATTACGACATTCAGCATGATGGAACTGACAGCTTAGACGACAAGACTTAATGCCGGTTGGGTTGGTGTATGGGGCTAGTGAAAACCACCTCCTTGCCAGGCTTCGTCCTGTCACTGCTACTACCGTATCATTTTATCTTACCTATATTTCAACACCTTCACATCTTAAGACGTCCTCAATTTATAAGTGAGGTTTTATGATTTTTAATATACGATTACAGGAACTTTAAATGGTGTCATATTTATTACATTATTAGCACGATACCGATGTTTACAAAATATAGCTTGGTAATTGCAATTCGTTGGAGAGAAATCTGTGGTAATCGCTGTATAATGAAGATCATAATAACTGAGATTATCAGAAAAGATGCGCGCAAGCTTCATTTGTATTCAACAAGTGAAGAGATGACTCGATAATTGGGAGGAATCCAAGAATAGAAATTGGAGATGATCTGAATTCAAAATAATATGCAGGTTTTATTGAGGTACTTTCGACTGTAAAGGATAAAAACAACACAGTTAAGGATTATTTTATGAATTATGAACGACCAAAACCTGAGGCAGAAATGCTTATAATTAGTACTACTTGCAAAGCAATTCTGAAAAGAGAAAAGATATATCATTCTGTTAAGATACTTACTTCACTGTTCGTGTTTCTGTGGAAAGCGTTGCTATAATGATCAACGGAGTTGTCTAAAAAGTATAACAACAATGGCTGGAGGAGCTTTGTATTTGATGAAAATGTGTTCAAAGGGGTACTTTACAAAAATCTATTTTCTATTAGTGGAAAATAGTTATGAATATCATTATTCATCTGTTCGTATAGATAATATATCGCTATCGGAATTCATGTCGTCTCTTATTTTGAAACCTAAAATATCTACGAAACAAGTTCTGAAACACTTGATTTGGACAGCAAAGTTATTGCTAAAAAACTGACAAGTCCTTTGTATATGTTCTTCTTACTTCTATTTACGCGACAGTGACATCCAATCTCGTGAACAATATGTAGTTCAGCATGTTAAAGAAACACAATAAATTTCAAATGAGAGGATACTTAGTATGTTTTCGTAAAAGGATACTACTACTGTCAAAAATATGCTGACTAACATTAGCGGCAGTTGGTAATGGGTGTTGCAAATTAAAGACCTTTTATTGCAAGCACGAATAAATTAATGTTCAAATAAATGAATAAAATTAATAAGCACACAATAAATATAGTATGTCTACCTAAAATCGGCCAGTACCTCGGATAACGCCACCAAATTGGGTGGGGCCATTGCCAAATGGGACTCCGAAGTGTCTCTGAGCTTCTATACCTGCTCCCAGGTTGAAATTTTTGTTCCTTAAACAATAAGTCGAACATTTATTACCGTATTGTGTAATGCTTGTGCTGTTGGAGTCACAGACATAGACGACAAAGTCATATTCTAGTAATGATTTTTACCGATTTGCAACTGGCCAAAATCCTCTCTCAAATCCATGCGTCCGACTGAATTTGCTGTTTCCCACCATTCACGACCGTCAGAAATTCGTTGCCAGAACATGCTTATTATGCAAAATATGTAAAATTGTGCCTAGCACGTGGAAAATGGTACAGAGATTACAAATTTCTTAATAAAACGTCGCTCAACGTCTACACTACAACCCCCTACCTTCAACAACATCCCAACCTGAGTTTTCAACCCCTACAAAAAGTTTTCTGAAGAAGATCAGGAGCCTCTGAAATGCCAGAAAACGGGGTTTGAACGATGTTTATTATGTTTTAATAGGGCCACGGATTAACGGACAGACAAACTGACCAACGGACAAGAAAGATCGACAGAAATGCGTTATGGTTTTCCGTGATGTACACGTCATACTCGTACATCGTCGAAAAAACATCTCATTCCCAAAACTTTATCGCGATTAGAATGATTGTGCGGCATGTAAAGGAAATCATTCTTAAATATTTTGGTCTGACCGTTTAGTTGGTCCTTTTAAAAAACTTTTGGTAGGTATTAAAATTGCAAGGTTTGATTTTATTCCCAGTATCATATAGCGCTTGCGCCTATGTAGTCTAGCAACACATGCGGGTTATTGTGAAATTTCGTCGAAGCCTTACCTGTAAAAATCATGTTGCACTCCAGCTCTGGCATCCGTACCAGATCCTCTAACATGATCTGCACCAAGATACGCTGAGGTCCTGGAAGGTTAATGGTTGTGGTTCACCTGTCCACCAAACGCATCTGGTCGGAGTCCAGGTGAATGGTATCCCTTGCTTGCATATGCAGACCCATCGAGGGTATGTCCGTTCCTGTCCAAGATATTTCCTCCGTGATTTAGAGTAACTCCTTGTTTGTTCACGTCCACACCAGTTTGAGATTGAGGAGATCTGCAACAAAAGTAGTGACTAAAATAAGGTAGCATTGGCTAAAGATATCTATCGGTTACTGCTATTAGATTCTCTCCAAGGTTCAAACTTAAAGGAAATAGCACTTATACATGCTTAGATACTCAGATATTTTGCATTGATATCAAAATGGTCATAGGAATTAGGACAGGCCAGGTTAATACCGCCTTGGGCGACTGGACGCACAGGTAACTGAAGACTGGATAAGCAGAGATCACTATATTGGGATGTAAAGAGGTTCACAGCCAATGAAAGACCAATTTCGATGCTATTGAATAAAAATCTTCCATCTTCTGATTAGAATTCTTACAGGTCGCTGCAATTTGTTTGGACGTCCAGCCCTCATCGAAATAGAAAGAGATTCGACTGCTCCAAATGCCCGGAGGTATGAAACTCCTATAAATTGAATAGTTGAATAATGTGGCTTTCGTCCAAGTGTCTGGAATTGTTCACGTCAAGTTCTAATGCTCATTGGGATGTCAGTTTCAGTGTTGGTAGGCTCGTGAAACCTTAGTTGAAGGATTTACCTCCGCATTCGCCCTTCTACTTCTAGCCTCGGGCTGCGCATAGATTAAAAATGATTCAAGATGAATTAAATATTGGGATGATACCTTATTTACTCGTTAACTCGTTAAGTTTACCTTCTTGTTCTGCTAAGAGGAACCATGTAATACTGCTCTGCTTCTTTATATTCAGCAACTTCAAATGGCATGCCTTTAACTACTGCCAAGCACAGCCCAATGCACACAACGTATTTCGTTTTGGATGATGTATTTTCGTTTGTCACACTATCACAGAAGCAGTCTTACTAATTAAACTCGATGAACTGATTAACATTCCTTAGGCCAAATCTGTTTTGATACCATAGGAATACGGTAAATAACCTTTTTGTAGTGCATCCCAGTCATTGCGAAATATTTCCGCGATTCTTTATTATTATTGGGCAAAGTTGAAACAATAAAGATAACCTTGTAACTCAATAAATGAACTGCAACTAAACAGATTGGTGCATTGTGAATTACCGTATGATTCATATGCCGTACAAAGATAAGAGGCAAAGCACTGAGATGAACTATGTAACTATGTAATTCCGGAAATTAATATCAGGTTGGTGTCACTTCTAATATTGTGGTTTCTTTTTTGTCTTTTTGCTTGTACTTTGTTCAGTAATTATTAGGTATTCATGGTTTTAACAATGAAAGGTGCTAGTTCCAGAGTCATAAAAAACTTTTGATATTTGTGTCATTTTGAATTGTTAAATTCATATGCATGGCTAGTATTCGAATAATGGTTAAAGGTTTATATAAACGGTTACAGAGGTTCGAGGAACTATATCTTTAATGTTTCCTCGATAGAAATGCCGCTCCTTCGTTCATTTTCTTGATGAATGGTAGGATAAGGGTCTCATCTCTAATAAAATAGAAACTAGAATCGTCAGTTATCTAGCAGTCCCGTGGTGACTGTTCTATTAAACGTGAATTGAGGTCCCTAGCAGTTCCGACTAAGAGTTGCATTGGTTAATTCTGGTGTGATAGATAGCGCTTTGCTATTTCGATAAATCGTACCTACCATATAGAGAATAGTTGCGATGCTTTCTTCCGTTTGTCCAGAGACAAGAGACCAAGCCTAGACCATGCTGATGAGTAGCCAAGAAGCACAAAGCAGCTGGCCATGGTCTTCTTGGTCGGACGGATCAAAGCATCATGTTTAGTTTAATAATACAATTAATTTTATTCAATGATTCGGAAAACCTAGGAACATATTATTTTGCTGCAATGCGTTCACTTTATTTGATGAAAGCCATCAGCAAAAGTCACAAGAAGCCATAGAACTACGTCCATTTTCTAATGCTCGCTTTCGAGAATTGGCCTAATAAAGACAGATAAATAAGCTTTGGTACGGTAAAGTTTCCAATTTTTTTACTTTAAAGGATGCCGCGACAGCTGAAACGTCAGTAAGGTTATTCATTGACAAATTGACACTGATAGACTGACATCTATATTCAGGGGCAGGTTCTGTTGGACCAATTAATTCAGGTAGGTAGGAGGAACAAGTCTAAGGGCCGTATCGTCAGTCGTTCCTACAATTGTAGGACGCCTTTATGGCCTTCTTGATTGTCATAGGTACTCTTTGCTCTCCTTCAAAAATTTCTAGATTGCTCCTGTTCTGTGTCAGCGTCAGCGCTCTCCTATTGTGAAGATATGTTTTCTTTTTAAATTGTAGGAAATTTCAGGCTGATAAAACATGATATAAATCAAAAGCGTGCACAATTTGATGCAAATAGATATTTGTGACATAACCTCAAAATACAGCGCGGACACGGGAAAGTAGAAAACTATGACAATCAAGGATGCCATAAAGGCGTCCTACAGTGTAGGAACGACTGATGATACGGGCCTAAGACTTGCTTATGTCCAAAATCGCATAGTCTCTAGTCAGGATGAAAATTGATACTACAAGTCGATCAGGCGTAAGCCGTCAGTTTGACAGTTGTTGACATTACACATGACTTTTGTATTTTTCTACGAAAACGTATGAAAGTGCGTGGTTTCCATACAGTCCTAGTATTCCAGACAATTTTCGAAAATGGTGAAGGGCATGTACCTCAACTTTGGGCTTTTTCCTAGACAGTTGTCAGGTAATTTGGACTTATTTCAGCCCACTTCTTGTTTCATTGAGTTTTCAGCTCGACTCTATGTTTTGTTAACAATATTGCATAACTAACAACATTGACAAATTGGTGATAAACCAAATTTTTTTATGGATATTGAAGAGATCCAACCGAGACTTTAACTTCTTCAAGTCTTATCTACTTTATTTTAAATATAAAATTTGTTAGGAAAGGTTATTACTTTCACGTTCTAAATAGTTATTTTACGTTCTCATTTTATTGACACGAGATTATTTTGAGAAACCTAAGTGAAATATGAAGTTAATTAAATTACTTCCAAATGTTTTTATCGGTTACATATCGGATTACAATAACTATTTAGAAAAACCAAGTGGAATTCAAGCAATGTGGGTCACTATTTTCAATAGCAGATATTCTACTATTGTTGCTGTTTGAAGGTATGTTTTTGAATTTTTCACGTTCCAAATTCACAAGTTAAGTAGAATTGTTCATGTGCCATATCGTAAATAAATATTTACTTTCGATTTTTTGCCTTATTTAATTTATCCCTGTTTATGAACGGTTCATACCGCAACACATATTGTATTTCTTCCCTGCTAAACGTGACTACACCCAGTACGATTGGCTACTTGAGTTTATCTCGATCTTGGTAGGCGATGGTAGATAAATGAGCTAAAAGTATACACTATCGTCAGCCGTTCCTAAAATTGTAGGACGCCATTATGGCCTTCTTGATTTTCATAGTCCCTTCTCTTCTTCAGGAAGAATGTGGTATTTCTAGATGTCTCCTGTTAAAACATATGATATAAATTAAAAGCATGAATAATTTCATGCAAGTAGATATTTGTGACATAACCTCAAAATAGAGGCTGACACGGAATAGTAGAAAACTATGAAAATCAAGGAGGCCATAATGGCGTCCAACAGTTGTAGGAACGACAGACGATACGGCCCTAAAACTACACAATTTTGGCGACAATTAATAATAATAGCCTTTATTTAACCTGGCGGGTGTCAGCTAAAAGCTGTTTTTCATACCAACCAGGGCCAATTGAATACATTGTATAGATATAGGCTTCGCTCCTGCTAACGCATTCAAACCAGTTGGTTAGGACTGTACACATAAGGGTCAAGGACGGATTCAGAGGGAGGGCGCGGGAGTCTAGATACCCAATCCTGCCGCTTTTTTAATAAAATGGTACAAACTGCTGTTTTTTTGGTGTAAAAGTTACCTTGCCATGGCGGAATCGTCGAGACATAAGGACATGAAATTTGACAGGTAGTTTATAGACAGGACATGCCAATTAAGAATGTATTTTGCGACAGTATAGACATTTGTAAATCTGTACGACAGTCCATTGTTTTTCTACAAAAATTTGGCAGGGATGTCGTTTACATGCGTTAGATTTAAGTTAAGAACGGATTTGGCGGAGGGGTCGTATTAGGAGACTTGAATGATTCTCCCGAGTTCCATTGGAGCTTTATTTCGGATACCTGAAATTGGCAATAATGGGGTTCTTTAGAGTAGACTATTGATATTGTGATATATGGGCGAAAAGCGATTAAGGTGCTTTTATACATATTCACCCTTCCTAACTAGAGACTAGACAGGTATTTTTTAGAATATAAGTCAAATGGCCAGAACATACAGAATAAATAACATAAGTTAAGCAGTGTACCTTACCCTCTGCGGGCTTTAAATAACTATTTTGATTTTGATACTATAAAAATTATCTATCTGATATGCGCATTTGTTATAAATTCGTGTAAGGAGTTTAATACAGAAGAGATACATTTGGTCGGATACTGCGACATTTGACCGATCAAGTTTTAATGCCAGTTAGCTCTAAGGCAAGCCAAAATGAGCAAATATTGCCTGCTTATCAAGCTCCACCTCTTTACTGCTACTAATTCCGCATTATTTTATTCTGTACAGGGTGTCCCACGTAGAACTCAAGCGATTGCTTACTCAAAAAGATGACATACAATTATGAACACTTGGAGTTATAGTATGACTGATGTAAGAAATTCAGCTAAAATGTTTCCAACATAGTGGCACTACCTATTGTACCGGACGTTTTCCAATTTGCTTATTTTGAATGGAACAACCTGTTTATGATTCAATTTTTGAAATATACGCAAAATTCTAGACATTAGGTCATGAATAACATATACCTAAATCTAGCCGTTTTCGAGAAAGAACCAGATAGTTTCCTTATGGCTTTCGGCTAAATAAGTTTGCGTCGCTTTTTTGACATTTCGTATGTTTTTTCGACATTTCGTTGGTTTTTACTCACTAGATGTTAACTTAGTACAAGCTGTTGTACACTTGTTGTGAACTCTTTTATGTGTTGCTTAAACGCCAGCGAACAGCGATCATAGCGAGCAAACGTAGCATGAACTATTTTCATACTAAAAACTACCTAGTCTTCAATAAGACACTTCGTCGGTTATTTTTGACGTTTTTTTAAGTATTTTACATAATAGCCGTGCAGAACCCGAAACCTTCAAGTAGGGGCTATTAATAGATGTGACAGGACAACATAAGTCTTAACATGATATTATTCGAGAAATAGAAGTAGAGTGTTGCTAACATTTTCCTCAAACTAGCCAATAGTGATCAGGGATTTGACCTTGACAGTAACCTTGATGGGGTCAATGCCTGGTGCAATTTTTGAAACCCGTATATCCTACTTTTCACCAAGAAAATGAATAAAGTGGAACACCTAATTTCATCTAGTGTACTTGAACACTTCGAAGTCGCAAAACTTGAAGGTCATGTTCAGGAAACCTCTCCCAGACCTCCTAGAGAACCCAGAAGCCTTCAATTAGGGCGTATTGATAGATGTAGGATATTATTATAACTTGTAATGTTGAGAGAGAAGAAGTAACACGCACTGTAGTTGAGTTTTATTCCAGAGAGGCCAGTGGTGAACATGGCCTTGACCGAGACCTTGGAGTCAGGTTTTTTAAGTGAAACATCCTATTTGGCAGAGATGTTCTAAGAGACTATGAAATATTGCAAAATCTTTTGTGGGCAAACTCTTTTTGTTATCTTTAAACGAGGTTACCTCACAGACTGTGCGTTGGAATCCATCACCTAACTTGGTGGGAGATACAGACGTTCGATCCCTTTACGTTATTACTTTCTTAATTCGAATCATTGCCGTTTATTGTTACTGTCTATTTGCTCTACTTGTTATTCAATTCTTACTGAATTAGCGCTTTTAAAATGCCCGGTCTGTTTTAAGGGTTGGCAATGAGAGGAAAGCTACCAGCTGGCTGGAAAACAACTTTTCACCTTCTGGCTTTGTCTTAATATATTCCGATCAAAATTGACTATGTAAAAATCTCCCGTTTTATGGTTTTTATTATCAAAGGAATGCTGCTACCATTAACGGTAATTGGTAAAGGGTGTTACAAATTAAAGCACTTTAGGTTGCAAGTACGAATAATTTAATGTTCAAATAAATATTAGAATTAATAATCACACAATATAATACAGTATGTCTACTTAAAAACGGCCAGTAGCACGGATAAATCCACCAAGTTGGGTGGGTCCATTGCCATATGGGCCTCCGTAGTGTCTCTCAGCTCCTACTCCTGCTCCCACGTTGAAATTTTTGTTCCTTAAACAAAAAGTCGATCATTTACTAACTTGTCTAAAAATTCGAAAATGGCATAATTCTACAGCAATAACTGGAAGTTTGATATATATATATATATATATATATATATATATTTGATCTTAAGTTACAGTGAGTGTTTTCAAGAGTGAGGTATAGATCGTTTTCATGGATGTTTCCATCTCGCACCGCCGATAGATTTGTTTACATTGTATAGGGGACATTCACATGAAGGTGGGCACAGCAAAAGATCTAGGCAACCCCAAGGGCCAAGGAGTTGGACAACTCAAATCTCAGTAGTGTTATTTCTTAGTTGTTCGCTACACATTTGCTTTGCTTTGTTTTTCAAGCATGGTTGTTTCTGAAACGCTCTAAGTTTTAACCAGTCGAAGATAGAGAATGAGACCAAAAAGAGAATGCTAGTCATAGGGGACATCTTGGCATTATCATTATAGATTTAAAAGTTTTGGTCGGATCCAGGTGGTTACTTATTTAGTTTACTGCTCAAAAATTTATAGCGGGTATTGAAATTACACAATTTTGTGAATATTTTTGATATGATATAAACATACGGTGGCTGTGCAATTCCGCGAAGTCTTACCTGTAAAAATCATGTTGCACTCCAGCTCTGGCATCCGTACCGAATCCTCTAACATGATCTGCACCAAGGTATGCTGAGGTCCTGGAAGGGTCATGGTTGTAGTTCAACTGTCCACCAAACGCATCTGGTCTGAGTCCAGGTGAATGGTATCCCTTGCTTGCATATGCAGACCCGTCGAGGGTATGTCCGTTCCTGTCCAAGATATTTCCTCCGTGACTTAGAGTGACTCCTTGTTGGTTCGCGCTCACACCAGTTTGAGATTGAGGAGATCTGCAACAAAAAGAGATGTATTAATAGTAACTAAAATGAGGTAGAATTGGCTGAGAATATCTATCAGTCGGTTCCTATCAAGGTTCAAACTCAAAGAAATGTTATATATGCTCCGATAGCGAAATAGGTTTGAGAGCGGTTGCGTTTGAAAGAGAAGCTCATATCTGGCCTAGGATTGCAGCACATACCTGCTAGGTCTAGCCCTCATGAACCCATTGTGGTTGATTGCGCTTAGTGGCGCGTGGAGTAGGGAGAAAGCAGAACACTTGTCAATACTTGGGTGATTCAACACACAGGGAACTGAGGAACAGTTATGCAGAGATGACTGTATACGCAGTCTAACAAGTTCTTAGCTAAAGAAGCACCAGTGCTGTAGTATACAGGGTGTTCCAGAAATAACTCGCGCATAGTGATAGGGGAGGTAGATTTGAAATGAATTCTCGGTTGTCTTAACCAACTATTCATGGTAGCCCAAGAATTAAACATAAGTTAGAAGTTCTTTATAGCCATAACAGGCCAAAAAGGAGGAAGACGTAGTGATTTTTTGAAAAAGCTTGAAGGTGGCAATATCTCAAAAACCAGAAAACTCTTACTAAGATCATGTTCATTTTATCTGATTAGGACTTTCATAATCCGCAAGTTGGGGATCAAATGTGGGCATATATTTTTTTTGGAAAATGTAAAAATATGTATCTTTTGTCTTATCAATTCCATTAAGCAATGCGTATTATGAAAGTGTGTTCAGTTCATTAAGCAACTTGTATAGCAATAGATTTAGTTAAAGCCGAACTTTTAATAAGATTAAGCTTTGATGAATATTGTTTAAATCTTTCAACTTTCTTGAATACTCTAATGGTTAACTGGCATTTAACATAACATAACAATAATCTTTATTTGCAAAGACAAATGCTATACATTAGCTGTAAACCACTTTTTAATACAAAAAGTGTCAACACATTGAAATTAAGGATAAAACCTTCCTTTAAAGCATATTATTCAAATCGGTCTTGAACAATTTATCGATTGTATATGGTTCTAGATTTAGTAATATTTTATATAATATATATTATTTTAAATCCACACTTACAACTGTCAATGCTGATTGGGATATTCGCCTATTTGCCTCTCCGTCGCTGCTCCTATTTCCCATCGCTAAGCGCTGAGGTGCTCATTAGTTAGAAATGCTTATTGAGTTGCAATAATAGATCTGTAGATCTACTTACCTTCTTGTTCTGCTGAGAGGAACCATGTAATACTGTTCTCCGTCTTCATCTTCGGCAACTTCAAGTGGCATGCCGTTGACTACTGCCAAACACAGTCCAATGAACACAGCAACGTATTTCATTTTAAAAATGATTTATTTTGATTTCTCACAGAAGCTGTCTGTCGAATTAAGCTCGATGAACTGATTAACATTTCGTCAGTACAAGCTGCTTATATACTGTATGAATAGGGTGAAGTACCGTCTTTCTTCGACTTGCAGGGAATTCCAGTAATTGTAAAATATTTCTGTGATTCTTGGATCCAAATTAACGTTTGTAAATGAATAATAAAGATAACGTGCTGCGACCTTGATACCGAATAAATGAACTGCAACTGCACAGATTAACGTATAGTAAATTACCGTATGACTCTGTTGAAATACAAAGATAAGAAACAAAGCACTGAGATGTAACTATGTGTACTTTCCGGGAACTAGTATAAGGTTGTTGTGAATTCCTAAATTGTGGTATTTTTTCTGGTTTCTTGCTTGTACTTTACTCAGCTATTAAAGCTACTTGGTTTTAAGAATTAAAAGATTAGAGTATATAGGCGGGGTTTTCTAACCCGAAAATAACTGACTTCAAGTTGATGGCATCTATAGAATTTTTTCATTCAAATATTTTAGAAGATTTGTATTTCAAACGTACATGACTCTTCTACTTCTTTTAAAACCCCAGTATTTGCAGATCAGGAAGGTTCCACAGAGTGTTGGTACAACACTCGAGGTCGGTAAAAAGAGCCAAAGGTGGCCTACTTATACAGGGTGACTTCGAACTTGAGTCATTTATTTTAACAATGAGTAGATCTGATCAAGAGAAATGTTTTTTTCCTTTTTCTGGTAAAATTAAAGTAACAAAGTTATAGCCCTTTAGAAGTTTGAGTACCGCCCTGTCTCAATAATAATATTAGATAGATAGATAGTTTATTGTCCTATTAGATCATGTTACATGATATAAGACTTGTCAATATCAATTTGAAGGTCATATATGTGTTTGAGCAAATATGCCAGAAAAATACTTATCATTATAAAATAAATAAGGACATTACAATTACAAAACATTTTAAAAGGTTAAATCACATTATACTTTGAAGTTGAGTCATTAATTTTCAGATAATGATTGTAGAAGGAAGATAAACCAAAATATGTGTGTAAAAATAAAAAAAAATAAAAAAAAATTTACCTTGTTTTATAAAGTATCCTCCCGACAAATATTTCAGTGCGGATCTGTATTTGATCGTGAGGTCTTGGAGCACCGGCATGCCGTCCATATGTGAGGTCTTAAGTCACCTGATTCACGAACCCGTTGTACTACAATAACAAAGGCACGAGGGGTTGGTTGCACTCGATTGGGAAACCGATCCGCATAAACATGTGCCATTTTTTATTTCGTTTGAGCCACGCAACAGTTATACCACTATTCACTACCGACTGACACTGACTGTATACAACTGAATGAAATAATTGTAAAAACTTCGTTCCAAATTCTTTCGCTTTTTGTTTCCGATGCGATGAACCGATAAGGCGGATTATATCCGTTGTCGCCAAACACGAGCACATAATATTATTATTGAGACAGGGCGGTACTCAAACTTCCAAAGGGCTATAACTTTGTTACTTTAATTTTACCAGAAAAATGGTAAAGGAAAAAAACATTTCTTTTGATCAGATCTACTCACTGTTAAATAAATGACTCAACTTCGAAGTCACCCTGTATAGAATATACATAAAAATGAAGGTGTTGCTTGACTGCGCTCAAAATAAAAAGGAACGTCAAATCAGTACACAATTGAGCGCAGCTGAGCAACACTTTTATTTTTATATATTCTGTATCTTGGTATATTTTATCATAGATTTGAAGTAGAGAGCGTTGCGACTATGCGCTTATGTTAAAATATCGAGTCAAATATTCTAAAGTGTGTGAATTTTGAACAAAGTTGCTGAAATTACGCACTTTGAGATTTCTAAGAACAATAAAGTACGAAAATAAAAAGAAAAATGTTGATGAACGCTTAAAATACATGTTCATTCAAATGCCAAAATGTCACATAAGCGATCAACTTGAAATTCGATTTATTATCTGGGCCAAGAACCCTTAAAGATTGATCCTCTGCTAGTTTTAGCTTCATGGATAAAATTTTGGATTCTTGAACAATGAGTACTAGGACTCGAAGATTGGTTGAACGCTTATACTAACGGTTACACCGATTGAACTGTGCCACCCTATAGGTCAGTTAATAAAGACAAGGAAGTAGAGTAAATTCACGCTCATAGATTGACGTGTATCTTCAAAGTAAGATATGTATGTTAGGAATGTAGACCTATCCATGGGAGTTTGAATCAATACTGTTGCTATTCTTTAAGCTGCTTCAGAAACTTTAAAGTTATTATTGCTCTCAATATGCATAGATAAACCTCTGTCTGCTGTTATTGGTATCTGGTATAATTGCAGAATTCCAGATCAGAGATTAAATTTTATTGCTTACTTATGCAATATTATGCGTGCTTTACCTTTCTAATACATGTTCGCACCACCTCAATAAGTATCCATTACGGTAATATTTATAACTTATCCGTATATGTTTGTATGCCTGTAATGTGTCATTTGTACCACAGCTGTATTAGTCTTCTTCTAAGATGAACCTACTAAATAATGCTTGGTATCGTCAAAGAATATTGAAAAACCTATTGTTACTATATGATTGTTCGATAACTGTCTATATTCATCTTAGACTCATTTTTAAAATTAAAGTAGAACTTTACTAAATCTTCTGAGAAACCACTAACAGTTATTGTATTTTTACAGGTGAGTTATGGGTGTAGCTTATCAACAGACGAGAATCAGTAAGTTATTAGTTACTCGTTTATTATTATTCTATATTTAATAGCACTGTGGCAGCATACGTTGGCTTTTTTCTAGACTTATTCACATCCAATTCACCTCTCATGTACCAATTTTGAGTATTTGATGATCATTATTATCGGACCCTGAACTAGAATATAATATCAGTTTTAGTACAGTTTTAATAGCTTCAGGTATTTTTCAATAAATGTACACCAGAAATCCTTCAGCTCGTCTGTTTAGTGTATTAGATAATAAAAATTTTATTGCCGTTACTTATTACATAATGCATTAAACTTAGAAGAAATTCTAATTGTCTCTCATTTGCAGTATTAGTAAACTCCAAATACCTTTACCGCCTTTGCAGATACAGTTAAGAGCTAATTGCAAATCTGAATAACACAATAAAAAACAATTTACAATAGCGAAAACACCATAAGATATCCGGTGACCACAGCCTTCTAAGTGATTTGCATACAATGCGACCTTCACAAGTACGCTAGTAACGACAACATTTTAATTGGTGCTGAATTATGGACATAGAGGATTTTCTGACAAAAGGTAGTTGATATACGTCTGGAACATTTTATAGTCTAACTTGGTGCTTCAGACCTTTCGTGCAGGGCGTGGTAACCTTTTACTATAACGGGTGTTTCCAATTGAAACAAAAAATAGAAACGATTTTGCGAAAAAATTGTTTTTTCGTATGGCTCGACTCTATACATTTGAAAACTTTCCTCCACGGTTATATAAAAAACCACTGATTGAAAGAAAAAACTCCGAGACACGACAAAATATTTGTCAAGGGGTATCAAGTAATAGCTTGTTTGAAACGGTTTTTTGGAGTCCTTTATTTTAACGTTTGATTTTTTTTAATCAGTCTATTCGTTATCGTGAAAATCAGAAAAATCTTTATCGTAATTTGTTCACATAGAAAACAAAAACATACGAAAATATCACTTTTTATTTCAAAACGTTGCTCGTTAGGGTTTGACAAATTTACAATTCATTTATAACTTGAAACGGAAACTACAAACATAAACAGCAATTCGGAAGATTAGACGTGGCAACAATCAAATAACAACCCGATTTTCTTTCAGCATTTTTTTCATAAACACAGATATCCTTGTTGTTAAGGGAAACAAAGAATTTAATTTGGTGTTAGTTACGCTCCTTTCACGTTACACGATTTCGCCCGTACGAGAAAAAATCGCCCGGGCAATTTTTCTTGATCGATTGTTGAAGAGCACGAGACCTTTTACATTGCACGATTACAACACCGGCACGTTTTCTAAATGCGTTGCAGCCGTCCAGTGCCACTAGAACCGTACGGCTACCGTATCGCCCTCTAGCTCAGTGGTCTGCGTGACCAAATGCATGCTTTCACACTAGACGGTTTCAGTCCTGCCACGATTTAGAATCGGGCGATTTTTTCCCGTACGAGCGTAATCGTGTAATGTGAAAGGAGCGTTACCTTTGTGACAATCTTGGGATAGTGAAAATCAGCTTATTGATTCAGCCGAAAGAGTGGAAATATATATGCTTTGGAGCTTGTTACTAAATTTACTCAAACAGGATCTGTTGCAAATAAAAATACGTGATCATAGGAGAGTTTTGGATGAAGTTTTGGGTCATTTTTAATAAATCCGCAATTACGCAAAATTGTTGCTGCTACTCGTATTTCACTAGGCTCTGTACACACAGTTACTAAACTACATAAATTTAATCTATTCAAAATGAAAATATTTTAAGAGTTAACTGAAGATGATTTCAATAGGCGAGTTGAGTTTTGTGAACAAATGACTGAAGCGACTGATGATAATACCATTCATGTAAAGAATATCTGCTTCAGTGATGAGTACACATTTTATCTGAATGTGTTTGTTAATGAGCATAACTGCAAGTATTGGTGAAATGAAAATCTTCATCCTTTTGTAGAAGGCGATAACCAGTACCACCAAAAAATTGATGTGTGGGCAAGCATTTTAGGAAACAAAGCGATTGGACCATTGTTTATTAATTGAAATTTGAATGGAGACATCTATTTGGATATGTTAGAAAATACCATCAATCCGCTTATCACTGAAACAATTTAAAACCAAATCGAAGAGTATGGATCTCCTGATTTGATGCTATTAGACTTTTTTCTATGGGCCCATTTGAACTCTATTGTGTTTACTCCCAAAGCTGAAAGTTTGGATGAACTTTGTCATCGCATCATCGAAAGCTGCCATAATATCCCACAACATGTTTTTGAAAATGTCCGTCAGGAACTTCGCCTATATCATTGCTTGGCCAATAACGGGCAACATTTTAAACACTTATTTAAATAAAAAGCGATGTATTTGTGTGTTTTTGTTTTCTATCTGAACAAATTAAGATAAATAAAGATTTTTCTAATTTTCTTGAAAACGAATAGACCGATTTTAAAAAGTCATACGTAAAATTAAAGCATTTCGTATATCCTTGCAAACAAGGTACTGCTCGATACTCTTTGTTATTTAATTTTTTCAAGGGGATGATCCTGGGGGGCAGAGGGTGAATAAGGGCGAAGTAGTTTTTGGTTAAAAAGTTGTTTCCCTTGACAAATCTTTTGATTTGTCTCGGCATTTTTTCTTTCAGTCAGTGGTTTTCGATAAATCCGTGGTGAGAAGTTTTCAACTGAACACCCTGTATAAATACGAATTCGTATCTCTTACCTTTTCCGAGATATTAATGGTGAGAGTCGAATCTGAAACACCTGGTATATAACTGACAGAGTTATTTCTTCAATATCTCTAAGATTGAATGATCCAAGTTTCTATCCTGTTCTATTTTTGAAAGTTATGGGTTATAGAGAATGATATGAAGTAAATGCTCGTCTCTGGAGCCCTCTTGACTACTTTTTCCACTACTTTTTGACTAGTCTTGGGAGGCTCCCGGAATATTTCAGCAGGTCTATAGAGCATCGGCTGTTAACACAAAACTTAGTTTTTATGAACACAGAAAGACTTCTAGGTTCGTTAAATAATATCATCTTGGAGAACAGATGACATCGTCATTTGGAGAGATCAAGTGCCCCGAAAACATTCTTCCATACGAAAATTTGCTTTATCTGGCTGATATCTCACATCTTGCAAATTAAGTTCAGTAGCTAAGGGAGTATGTCCACATAAAGTCAAACATTTCCTCCAATCTGTCAACACGCAATTTACATCACGCTCAAAATGCCGATTTTTTGTTTCATTTTGTTTTAACACGATGTTAATCTGTAGCTTGCACACAGAGGTAAAATGCTTTCATTGACTCTGCCTACTTCATTAATCATATCAATATGAAAGCGATCAAGTAGAAGTAATTAAAATAATAACATAAATTCCTTGTCTGTATGCCATAAATTAAGGCATACAAGTTTTCAAGTGACCAGGAAATTTTTGCTGGAATTTGAATTACTGAATGTATGCTAAGTAGTACGACATGTCGCTACTTGCTGCCGTAAAGGTTTGGCAGTGACAGCTGATATAATCTAGTTGGCTATAATTGATGGTAGACTTCTGTTTTATGTACTAAATATCCTACTTTTGATCATATGGAGTATGTTCGATACAATTAATATTAGTATTAATTTGATTTACAGCAATATATATTGCAATGTAATACGAGCAGTGAATTGTTGAAATTTGCGCATTAAGGTGGCCAAGCCCTGAAAAGAAAGTTGATATATAGTCGAGAGCTAGTTCCTGAATTGATAAAGATACAAGTAGATAACTAAACAGCAAAAAAGCAAATACTGTGTATTCATTGAAATCCATATAATAAAAAATCCCTACTACAAATAAAAAAGCGTTGTTACTCAATCACGTCAAAATCGCTGAACGGATCTGGATGATGATTGGCATAGAGATAGTTTGTTCATTTATTTATCTATTTATTTACACCACCAACAGATCATTGGTGGGAGAACACAAGTTTACATAGAAAGGAGAATGCAGAAGTACGTTGCTCCTGGGGGTTGGTAAATAAATCGTGAGAATGCTTCTGATGAGACATCTTGATATATCAAACGACAGGTGAATTAGAATACATGGACAATCATATTGGTTGTGAATAACCTTGAATAAAAATATTAACGAGTGCATTTTTCTTCTGTGCCTCTTTAATAATACATCTTTCGAAATACCTATTTCTGGATAATACCATCTTCTACGACAGATATTTCAGAAACTTACATTGTATTTTTTCTGGTGAGTCACACGTCGTCGTATATCGAGGATTCCAAATAATTCTTGCATATTTAAGTTTTGACATCACCATCATGCAACAGGAGTAGAGCATTTATGCTATCAAAATCACAAGAGTTGCGCAACACAAAACCCAGACGTTTATTCACAGAATTATTTGTATACGGAATGAAACTAAAAGTTGTGTCAAAGAACCAAGATGTTTAAATTTTCTTACATTCGGAAGTGTTGTTTAATTTTTAATGATATTCGATTGAGCGATGTTTTCTGCGTCAAGCTGGTACACTTGGATGCATTTATGCATAGGTTATTATTATCGCACCAAATTACTAACCGGTTAAGATTATTGTGGAGACGTTCACAATCGGTACTGTTGCTAACTTGAATATAAACTTTCAGATCATCGGCATATGACAGAAATTTGCAATTAATGACGTCAGCTATGTTGTCGATAAATATAATGAAAGGAGCTGATCCCTCTGAAACACCTGATATTGCACTAAGCTTTTGATATTTGGATCCATTGAATTCCACAGATAGGATTTCAAATGACATACTAAATCATTTGAATCATTCTTTCGTCATTAGTCTGGAATACACTGTGAATAAATAGTTATTGGATTGTCATACAATAGGTATTTATGTGTTATCTAACAATGTTGTGTGGTCGGGTATCTTCTTCTCTATACAGGGTGTCCGCAAAGTTGGGGTTTTCCTTTTCAGAAACAACTACCCTTGAAATAACAAAGGTAATGTGTAGTGAAACGAGGGCGACCAAGTAAAAAAAAATAAAGGAAAAAGTACTCACTCTCCAGTTGACGAGAAGGGCTAAGTACGTCTCTGCCCGAAATCATACCGCTCCAACAGAAAATGAAATCAGCTGAAGCGCTACCGAGCAGACGCAGGCAAACAAGGGAATGTTGCGTAAAAAGTCTAGGTATTGCATCCCGTCCAATCGATTTGGGAGAATAAATGGTCCAATGAGCATACCGTTCACCATGCCAGCCCAAACATTCACCGAAAATGTTTGTTGAGAATGTGCCCGACGGACAGCGTGCGGATTTTCTACTGACCAAACATGAGAGTTGCGAAAGTTATTCACCCCATTACGCGTGAACGTAGATTCGTCTGTCACCAATATGCACTTCAAAAAGTCCGGATTATTGTCATGTTGATGCAACAACCACTCACAAAACCGCACTCTTGCTGGAAAATCGTCATGTTGAAGGGCTTGTACACGTTGGACGTGAAACGGATACAGTGTCTGCAATCACGGATTCGCTGTGAACATCGACAAATTGTCAGGAATTTCACAGATCAGTATATTGTAAAGATAAGATGCAGGATCGAATTAATGCTAATTGGTAAGCTGCTACTGATGTACTCAGAGTGTCAAATTGTATCAATATTTGTATGATACAATTACATCATCCTTAACTTCGCCCCCTGGGGCAGTTTCTTATTGCCAAAAGAAATTACAACACTATCTCGATGCATTTGACAGAAGCTTAACCTCATCTTGGGAAAAAGTCAAAACACTAAGAACATGCATCGACGAAATAATATTCCGTTAAAATAAATTTTTTCCTGATAGTAAATAATTTTTTTGGATAAATCATATTTATTTGAGTGTATTTAGTATACCAGATAGTTCTTTTATCACCAGCAAAGCCAATACCTAGTACCTACGAGATGTTTCGTGTCCAGAAATAGTCTATGGGTGTCACATCTGGGCATTTCGCTTTCCATGAGAAGAATAGGAGAAGCGACCAATAGTGTGGTTGTAACGGATATTGAAATGCAATAGTTTATCATAATGAGTGGGAAACAAGCAGAGTTGAATCCTCTTTGCAATTTACTTATGCCAACTAGTCAAACAGATCAAACTGGCATTGTTAGTGGCTTAAATGTAAGACTGTAAGGCACCAATAAGCTGATTATATAAATTGGATTATCATGTATCAGCTTTCTTGTCCCTGACAATTAGTAAAACCGTATTGTTGATTGTTGTGTTCATTTAGCAAGGTCATAAACGCTGAAAACACAACTCTCACGGCTATCAATAAGAGAAGAAATATTTTTGTGTTGGCATCAATCGAAAGTATCATATGTTTCAAATATATGTTTTCAGTCTTTCCTTGTACAATAATAGGAAAGCATAGATGAATTTTACGATTCAGTAACGAAAGTTTTTTTGATCGCTGGAATCGCACTAGAATGTTTAGTTTCAGATATATACAGTACGAGCCCCTTCCCACTTCACTTGGCCCAACTATTGAAATCTTAGTTTTTTTCTTATCAAACACAAATAATAAAAATGTAGCAGGGTGTTATGGGTTTAAAATATTAACAATGAATATTTTGATAATATATAGTAGAAAACACCAACTTTATCACTCCCTAATCAAATTTGCAGCATAAAAATAACACATGTTGCAATTACAGCACATCAACCTATTTTCATTTTCATGCAAAATAAGTCTATAATGCATAGGTGGCTGTTAAAAATAACAACCATGACAATTGTTTTCATTAATCAAAGCTGTCAGAATACGTTTAAAATAGTTTTGGGTAGTTAAGATTTTCAAAATAGGTAGAGGAAAGGTTATTAGTGAGAAAATTCGGTTACTAATAATTAAATTTTTTAATTCTGGGAAATCAAACTCAAAAATTGCAACTATGTTAGACTTATCGCGGTACAGTGTGAGAAATATTTTTAGACGATATAACGTAACTGGTTCAGTTAATATCAAGCCACGATATGTGAAAAAAAGTAATATCACAAATGCCGAGCGAAGAGCATTAAGAAGAATAATCGTGAAACATAGGCGTGCCAATTATTTACAATTAAGTGCTCTGTGGAGTAACGCTGTTGGAACGGGAATTTCGACGTCCACAACTCATAGAGACGCCCACAAACTGAGATTTAGCACTAAAAAAAAGTGAAGTAAAAACCCTAAAGTTGCAAAACTTGTTTATAGGCCAAAGAAAAGCCACTATTAACTCCACTGCAATCGGCTTAGATGGGCTAAAGAACATAGACAATGGACACCTCAACAATGGTGTGCAATACAATGGAGTGATGAGGCCCGATTCGAAGTTTGTGTTGGTGACAGTCGCAGTAGAGTTATTCGCAAAAAAAATGAAGCATTCCATGTTGACTGTCTGAACAGAAAAGTAAAATTTTCAGCATCCATTATGGTCTGGGGCAGTATGTCATCAAAAGGAGTAGGAAAACTTCATTTTATTGATGGAAATGTGGATACAAACAAATATTTGGCAATTTTAGAAGAATCGCTTTTGCCAGTGATGGAAAAATGTTTGACATCCGGCCAAGATTTTGTGTTTCAGCAAGATGCAGCGTGCCATACATCAAAAAAGGCTATAAAATGGATGGAAGAAAATAATGTACCACTTTTGAAATGGATTTCTAGCAGTCCAGATCTGTCACCTATTGAAACTTTGTGGCACGAGATGAAAAAGGTTCTACGACAACATCCTGCTCGTACAATCACCGGACTGAGACAAAAGCTTCAAGAAATATGGGAATGTTTTACACCAAATTTTTGCCAAAACTTGGTTAACACTATGCCCCAAAGAATTTCAGCCATAATAAAAAATAAAAGTGATGTTACCCAATGGTAATCTTTCAATTGTTGCTTTGTTAACTTCGCGCATTTATTCGCACATTGTATATTTGTTCAGATGTTCTATTAGTTATAGGTCTAAGTGATTTCAAATATGTATTTTTTACGACTAGAGTGTATCAAAAATGTTTTTGAGAAAATAAATTGTTTTAGAAGTAAATAGTTTCGTCATGTTTAGTTTATAAAGGCATATTTTGGTACAAATATTGAAGTGGGCCAACTGAAGTAGGAAGGGGCTCGTACTTTTCTTTAATGTGCCCCCTCCCATTTATTTCTTTATCGTGTTAAGAAATATACTTTGTAAATCTAAGCCTTGCTAGAAAATACATACAGTACAAAAAGCTACTGCAAATCACGGCCAGAGAACACCCTTCCCCCTTAATACGACTCTGTATACAAGATTCGTCACTTGGCGTTAGGGGATATTTTCCAGGATATGGGATAGACACGACACAATCGCATACATTTCCCTCGATAGAGGTGGTATACTCATTGGAATGATTATGTATCCCGACATTCATCAACAGGTAAGTTCGATGAAGAGTTTTTAAAAAAAGGGGCTTAATATGGCCACGTTACACGAGGATTGTTGATGAAAAATACATAGGAAATAATTTTCTTTAAAAATGCATAATCGGCCTTTTTGGTCAGTGTATAAACTTGCACCATAAAGTCCTCTAAAATCTTTCTTATCTAGTGCTTTACCAGCTACTCAGCTAACGGGATGTTAATGCGATGTTAAATACATTCATAAAACGTTCTCATGGCGCTCGTTTATGCAACATTCGATAAACATTGCATAACGTGTGATCCCGTTCTTGTAAACGAACGGATAGCAGGTGACATAATTGTCATAATTTGAGGCAGTTTTTTTAATGCTCACGTGTACTAGCCGCGGCACACCGCTGTAAACTGTATATTTATACTAGATATTGAAATTTATGGGCTTAATATTACTTACAGGTAATACATTGCGTGGGTTCGTAAAGGTGTGCGACTGAATGAAATATACGGCCGATATCACCCACGAAAATTACTGGATGGCCAAAAGCTGCACAATCAGAATGCTTGTGAGGATTTAGGCCTCAGAATAACATGTCAATTTTTTTGTATACATACATAGAACACAAAAAATAGTATCACAAGTTACTATGAAAAAAAATATCGCACTAAAGGACACTACTGGATATCGGTCTCAAACAATTTTTGAAAGACATTTTATGTTAGTTTTATACAAAATTTGGTACACCAGGGATGGACTAGCTCTTACGCAAAATTACTGACGTTGTTTTGTACTCTTCATGATAGTGACCCAACAATAATATTCTTAGAAAACCTACTTTTTAGTTGACAAAATGGTATTCGTATTTAATTTTTATAAAGTTAGCCCTTTTTGACAAAAACAGGATTTCTCCAATCAGTACTTCGCGATTTATACTGCTGCCACTCTGTAATAAATATTCACACCCTAAAGTTTTCGTATCATTCGCTACGAATCTGTTATCAGAATCACTATATTCTCAAAATGGCCGAACCAAAATTAATCAAACTGTTTGTCTTCAAAACGGCCCATTTTATTGATGTCAAACAAGATAACATTTTACTCAGCTTTAATATTAGAATTTCCCTGAGACCATCATGTGAGGCCTCAACTAGTTACCAGTCTGTCAATTTTGTTGAATCCTACAAAACTTATTTGAGAAACCGATTTCCAGTCGCGTCCCTTACGGCGTTATATCTTTGTAGAGGAGCCCCTTCGGACATTTTTTGCAGAAGCCTGTGGCATTATCTTTGTGTTCTTTATGCATATCAGAGATTGACGGTTTATCCTGGGATACCCTGTTTGCTTTAACCGAGTTCGA